AATAAAATATAGGAAAGCACCTAGCCTAGGAAATCAAGCTGTGAGAATTGAGGAATGAATGAACTAGCACAAAGTTGGGTACAAGTAGGAAACCACAGGAAACTAAACCCCATAGTGTCTACCCCACTATAGCCTACACAAGCTATATAATATGAGTTTGACACACCCCCATAGGAAAAGTGGGGGAGAACAAGAGGCCACAAGACCAGTCAAGCAAAGCAAAGCAAGCTCAGGGTGGATCACAACGTCACCACACAATCCGAGCACAAGAGCAAGGCCAAAAGGCCAGTTCACATGCAAGATCATATATAAAAGAAAACAAGCAAGTGCAGGTATAGAAAGATCACAGTACAAGCAAGGTCAAGAAGTGAGCAAGTGAGGCCAAGTAGGCACAAGACCCAGCATTGTACAGAAGCGCTGATGATCACAAGGCGGAAGTGCCTTGGTAAAGATATCAGCAATGTTGGCCTCAGAGGCCACGTAAGCAAGGCGCAGCTGACCACGCTGCTGCAGCTCACGAGCAAAGAAGTAACGAAGAGCAGTATGCTTCGTTCTGTGCTCCAGTCTGTGCTCCCGACAGAACGCCAGCATGGCCTTCTTGTCTACGTACAGAACTAGAGGAGAACGAGGCGACTCTCCTAGGTCAATCAGCAGGTAGGTGAGCCAGCGTAGCTCCTGTGCAGCCATGGCCCCAGCGTAGATCTCAGCCTCACAGCTGGAGCTGAGAACAGAAGACGAGCGGGCAGACCGCCACGAAACAGAGCCGGAGCCAAGGCAGAAGGTGTAACCGTGTGACGACCGCTGCAGAGCCTGGTCGTCAGCCCAAGAAGCGTCAGCGTGACCTTTGAGGACCACTCGACGTCGCCCTCCAAGCACTAGCCCAATGCCCGACGTACTGCACAAGTAGCGCAACACCCTCTTCGCTGCAGTCATGTGCTCTGGCATTTGTCTGCCAGGAGCAACATAGCGTGCCAAGATGCTAAGAGGGTATGCAAGGTCAGGTCGTGTGCAGGTCATCAGGTACATGAGGCAGCCAACAAGCTCTGGGTATGGGCCACTCGGCTCTACGAACTCATCCGAAGGCAGAGCTGAGAGCGAGTGGCGAGTAGACAGAGGAGCGGCCTGAGGCGAGGAGTACGTGAAGTCGAAGCGCTGAAGGACCTGCTGCACCATGTGTGACTGAGTCAGGGTAATGGTGCGCTGTGCTCTATCCCGGGTGATCTGCAAGCCAAGGTAGTTGCGCAGTTCACCCAGGTCTGTGCACGTGTGTCTCTTCTGCAGCTCAGACTTCACGTGGGCGAGTCCAGCAATGTCAGCAGTGGCAAACACCAAAGAGGTGTCGGTGCGTAGAAACAGCGACAGGTCGGCTGTAGAAGGAGCAAAGCCAAGAGCCGCAAGTGTAGTCCTCAGTGTGTCGTGCCACTTACGGGGCGCCTGGCGGAGACCGTAGACTGGCCGCCGGAGGCTCCACTAAGAACCAGGAGGAAACGACCCAGTGAAGCCAGGTGGGCAGCGCAGCCAGATCTCCTCGTGCAGGCTGCCCTGTAGGAAAGGCGTGCTGAAGTCAAGAGAGTGAAGCTCGTAGTCGCGCTGAGCGGCTATGTGCAGTAGCACCCGAGGAGTGGTCATCTTCGGGGTGGGAGAGAAGTTCTGAAAGTAGTCAACTCCCTGCCGCTGACTGAAGCCTTGAGCCACGTAACGCGCCTTGAAGACAGGCGGAGAACCCGGCGGCCGCTTCACCCTGAAAATCCACATGCCACTGACGATGTTCGCCCCAGGTGGGGGAACCTCGTCAACATAAGTGCCTGTGTACTTCCAGGAAGCCATCTCTGCGTCCATGGCCGACTGCCACTGAGAAAAGTACGGACCCTCGATCGCCTCAGCGTACGATCGAGGAGTCGGGATGTCTGGTGCATCCGGGTCTCCCTTAGGGGCAATCAGCGTGGACACGAGATGAGGCAAAGCAGCAGCAAAACACTGGAACTCCTCCTGCCTGTCCTCAAGGACGTCCGTGCTAAGAGTACACTCACCCCCGACGGACGGAGGACAGATAAACTCAGACTCAGCAACAAGACTAGCAGCGTAGTCTAGACCATAGCGAGCAGCAAAGTCGACAAGCTCAGGAACTAGGGCCGACGCAGCAGTGGACTCAAAGGAAGGGTCAGTGACAGAAGTAGCCAGGAGACGTGTGACAGAAGGACTGGCAGCACGAAGAGAGTCAGACTTCGGGTCAGCAAGAGTAGGAAGTGAGGACTCTGGAGGAGACGGCAAAGGGACATGCAGAGGACCAGTGGAAGGACGTTGTGCCATCTGGTATGTGCCTGGGACCGCAGGAGGTCGCGGACGTGCAGTACGACCACTAGTGCGAGCAGCACGAACAGGCGACGCAGGACGAGACGCAGGCTCACGACGCTCAGCAAGACCTCTAGTAGGACCAGTGTAGGGAGAAGGAGCAGGTAGGGGGGAGGCGGGCTGTAATTGTGACTAAGACTGGACTGGCGGTGGACACGCTAAGGGAGGGGCAGGACCAGTGGAAGGCGGAAGACCAAGAACCTGCTCAAGGAGCGGAACGAAGAACGGCCTCGGCCGCGCACAACCTCCAGAACCAACAGGGAGAGCACCAGTACCTCCAGCGGCAGCACCAGCGCCAGCAGCACCTCCAGCTCCAACAGTGCCAACTTCCAGCACCCTCATACGCACCAGCGCCAGCAGAAACACCAGCGCCAACACCCCCAGCAGCTCCAGCTCCAGCACCACCAACTCCAGCAGGACCGGCAGCTCCATTACCGCCAGCAGCTCCAGCAAGACCAACTACAGCAGCCTCAGCAGCACCCCTAGTCCTAGCAGCTCCAGTACCGCATATACGAGCACCTCCGGTACCAGCAGCAACAGTAGTACCTCTTACTCCAGCAGCACGGCTCCAGCGGCAGGCAAACCACTCGCGCAGTTCCTATGGAGAGAGTGGCACCAGCCTCGACGAAGCACCGCCGGCGGCCACACGAGCAGACCCAGCGCCCCCAGGCTCCGCACCGCCAGGCTCCGCACCTCTAGACCCAGCACTCCTAGGCTCAGCACCCCCAGATTCAGCACCCCCAGTCTCAGCACCCCCAGTCTCAGCACCCCCAGACCTGGCACCCGCAGGCTCAGCACCTCTAGAAGCACCAGAGTCAACAGCTATCTCGACAGGCTCGACTGCGTCTACCTGGGACACACCTGACGGGGCACGACCCTGAGGGGGGAGGGGGTCTACCGGGGGAGGACCTGGCGCAAGGAAGAGCGGCGGCGGGGAGAGGGGCGCAGTGAGGTAGGGGGAGAGACGGTAGTGAGGCACCGACTCGTGAAAGGTGACGTCCTGGGAGGACAGAACACGGCGCGAGGTGGGGTGGTAAAACTGCCACCTAGGCGCGTCAGGGGGGAAGCCAAGGAAGACGCAGGGAACAGCACGGGGGGGTAGCTTGTCTGCACACAAGTCGCGGACAAACGCCCAAGACCCCTAGACCCGAAACGCAGACGCATCGCCAACCTTCCCCGTCCACCGCAAGGTGGGGGAGGTCTCTGGCAAGGAGACCCGGGGCTGAAGGTTGAGCTGATGCACGGCGTACTGAACCGCAAACGGCCACAGAAAATGGGGGGCAGCCGCATGCATCATAGACGTACGAGCGACGTCCATGACCATGCCAATGTGGCGCTCAGCAATCCCATTTTGCTGTGGAGAGGCCGGAAGCGTGAAGGTCTGGCGGATGCCCTGTGCACGACAGAAGGCTCCCAGAAGGGCAGAGGAAAACTCCCCGCCTCTGTCAGAGTGCAGACGCAGAACAGGAAAGTCCGAGCCGAAACTCTCCCTGAGCTGGAGACGAGCTGCGCGGATCCAGTCGATCAACAGCTCAGTGACGTCACCCTTGCTGCGCAAGGGGAAGACTGTGGTGTAACGCGAGTAGTCTTCAACCACCAACAGGAAGTAATGCTCTTGCCCCTGCCCACGGACGCGGGCGGGGCCCCACACGTCGATGTGGAGGGTCTGTAGTGGAGCCTCTGTCGGAGGAAACTCGGAGGAGTGAGGGGCGGCGCGCTGTCGCCCCTCGACGCAGGGGACGCAGGTAGGGCCAGGCCCCGGAGGTAGGGGAGGGAGAGACCGAGGGAGACCAGAGACAAGGACACGGGAGGCCATGCCTCGGAGACGAGGGAGGGAGGGGTGACCAAGGCGGTGGTGCCAGAGGAGAGTCTGATGAGATAGGAAACGACACGAGCAGGGAGCAGACTTAGGGTGCGTCAGATCCGTTGGCCGGATCAATCCGGCCATCCAAATCTAGCGAAGGTTACATATTCACGACATTCGTAAGGTATTTCGTTAATTTCGCACAATCCGGCCACTTGCTAAAATTTTGATGGCCGGTTTAGCATTCGTTTCCGACGTGCAAACGAATCGAGAGTCGACCACTTTGTCGACTTATCAGCGCTCCAGTACCTATGCGACTTGGCCAACATACCCAAGCGACTCAACGTGTCACAAGGACGACTCGCACGGCGCTTTCAGCGCCGCTGAACATGACCAGATTACTTGGTAATCTCTCTCGTCAGCAAAGTCAAGGAGCAAGGGCACCATGACAACGACTGCAGCAACCAAGGGGTGAGCACAACGTGCGTGAGTCCGATTGCTAAACTTCGTGCCCATCTGGGTGTGAAGGATCCGCCATGTTGGATAATGGCTAGAGTGTAGGGACGTTCCGGTTTTTGTATGCTCTCGTCACACTCAGTTCGGGTAGACGACACGATCTCGCCGAGCCGGTTTGGAAATGGGGCCACAGCTCATATCTTGACTCCCTGATCGTAGTGTGCACATAGCGGTTGTGTCACTTCAGTAACAATACGTGCGACTCCGTCGCACAATCCGGCCAATTGTGCGACCTGTAAATCTGACACTTCTGCAAACTGGCCTGTAAATCGGCCACCAAATCTGTCAGATCTCAACACCTTGTAAATGTGGCTGGATGGTGGTCGGTTTAGCATTCGACCATTCTGTCGACTTTGGCGAAAAAAGGAGTCGACCAAAAGGGCGACAAATTTGCAGCCAAATCACGTTGTAGCGGATCTGACGCACCCTTAGGACGAGACCTGGACGCTGCAGCAAACACCTGACTCGTCGCAGCTACCTGGCCAGACTCAGCAGCCGGAGGAGACTCACTGGTAAGGGTGTACATGCTCGACCCTGGCCGACGGGTGAACGTGGCCAAGTGTCGGCCTGTCCGAGCACACATGCAGTGGGTCACCCGCTGACTCGCAGGAGTGAACTGGTCAACCCCCCTATCCTGTAGGTCCGCTCCACTCACCAAGTTCGTAGAGAACGAGGGGAGGTAGAGACCTGACAGGGTGCCAGAGGGGGCTGCCGGGCACGGTAAGACAGTGGAGAAGCTAGCAAGGATAGGACCCCCAGAGGGGTCCGCAAGGGAGACTGCAACCGTCCGACTGAGCGGCGTAAGAGTGGTGCGGTCTTGAAAGAAGGAGCGGGACGCACCCGAGTCAAGGGTGAAGGTGTGTAAGGCCTGAGCCGACGTAGTACCTCAGAGGGCAGACGCACAAGCACCTGGGGCAGTAGACGCACTGGCACCTAGATCAGCAGCCTCACTAGCACCTAGAGCACTGGCCTCAAATCCGGGTCAGGCGGTACACACAGGTAACAGTCACCCTCAACACTAGTAGTCACAGCATACATGGCAGAAAGGATAGCATCATAGTCAAGATCAAAGATGGCAACCCTCGCCCTAGACAGATCTCCCCAGCGAGAGATCTATGACGCCTCAGGGAACTGGTGACGCCACGCGTCCGTCAGGCGGCCGAAGCAGCGCTGGGTGGAGTGCGGGCCCCCGCACTGCTCACCAGCTCGGTCGCCGCAACGGAGGACGTAAGTGCAGGGACCAGTACCCCCACCGCGCTGACGCGCAGCGTACCACTCACGAAGCTGCTGAGGGGACAACGGGGCACACCACGTTGCTGCTGCTGGCGCGGACCACCACCTGACCCACTCCTCTGCGCAGAGTTGCGACCCGCTCCACCACCGCCGCCGCCGCCGCCTCCGCCTCCTCCTTCACCTCCGCCTCCTCCGCCACCTCCGCCGCCTCCTCCGCCTCCACTGCTGTCGCCGCCGCCGCCACCCCCGCCACCACTCCCACCACCACCCCCACTCCCTCCACTGCCTCCACCACCACCTCCACCGCCCCCACTAGCCCCTCCAGTTCCCTTGCCCCCCTTGCCCTTGCCGGTGCAGCGTCTCCCGCTAGGGGCAGACGCTGCGCCGACCTTGTAGAAACCAACGAGGTTGGCAGCAGCAGAAGAAGCAACAGAGGGCAGGAGGGGGGAGGGGGAATACCCCTCAAAGACGGGGGTGCGAGGGTCACCACGAGAGGCTCCTACAGCGACTATGCTCTTCTCTGCTGCTAGGAGGGCCTTCTCGAGGAGTTCAACGGTGAGAGTGGTGGGGCAAACTGAGAGGAAGTGGTCCCTGACTACGCGGAGAGAGTCAGGGAGCCGGGTGACTATGTCGTAAAGGGTGATGTACATGGGGGGGGGGGGGGGGGTTCTTGGCGCAGAACTGAGCAGGAAGCGCAGCGCGGTAGCAAGTGTCACTAGTGCGGAGGTGCATAATGATGTCAGCGACTGTGGCAAAGGCAGCAAGGTCAAGGAAGAGGTACGGTAGCATGAGGCAGTGGAACTACAGCAACTACAGCGTCGTACAAGGTCTGAGCACTCTTGTACTGGCTAAAGTATGCACGCTTAGTGGTCGGTAAGTGGCAACACACAGCAAGACGGGCAGCAGCATCGCGAGTCGCCCACTGTGAGCGGATAGTGCTGTCAGCAGTAGCAGGCGGGGCAGGGGAGGCACCAGAGGTGAGGTCGAACAGAGTTAGGCCGTCTGCCCTATCGCACTGGAGGAACAGCTAGAGGTCATCGACCCAAACCTCAAAGTCAACAGCACGGCCCTCAGTGTCAAAGGTAAGAACACTGGGGGTAGCCATGACTGCAAAGGTCTAGCAAGGAGTGGGCTCACCAGTACGATTAAGTAGGGCCGGGGCGCGTCGGTAGGACTGGTAGCAGCTCGGATGCTGGGCGGCTCGGCGGTCGATCGCTGGGCGGCTCCGCGGCTCGGCTGCTGGGCGGCTCGGCTGTCGGGCGGCTCGGCGACTAGGCGGCTCGGCTGCTCGGCGGCTTGGCGGCTCGGCTGCTGGGCGGCTCGGCGACTCGGCGGCTCGGCTGCTGGGCGGCTCGGCTGTCGCGCGGCTCGGCGGTTGGCGGCTTGGTTGCTGGGTGTCTCGGCGGCTCTGCTGCTGGGCGGCTCGGTAGAGGCGGCGTCGAGGCCGCGTAGGAGGCGGCGTCGGGGCCGCTTAGGGGCGGTGATGGGGCCGCTTAGGAGCGGTAGCGAGGCTGCGGAGGGGCAGCGACGAGGCCGCAAGAGGGCGGCGATTAGGGCCGCTAGAGGGCGGCGACGCGGCCGCGAGAGGGCGGCGACGAGCCCGCGAGGGGTGGCTGCAGGGCCGCTACGGGCGGCGACGGGGCCGCGAACGGCGGTGGCGGGGCCACGAGAGGGAGGCAGCGGGGCCCCGACAAGGCGGCGACGGGGCCTCGAGAGGGCTGCGACGGGGCCGCGATAGGGCGGCAACGGGGCCGCGATAGGGCGGCGACAGGGCCGCGATAGGGCGGCGACGGGGCAGCGAGAGGGCGGCGACGGGGCCGCGATAGGGCGGCGACGGGGCCGTGGAGGAGGGGCCGCTGAAGGCGGCGCGACGGGCCGCTAGGAGGGCGGCGACGGGGTCGTGAGGGGCCGTGAGAGAGGGGGAGGGCCGCTGAGGGCGGCGCGACAGGTCGCTAAGGGGAGGGCGGCACACAAGGCGCGCCTCGGTCAGGAGCGACTCGATCTCAGGGCAGGAAAAAAAATCGATGTTCAGTGGTGGGCCCTAGGAAGTTCCCACTAGGGAACCTGCTCCATGCCATCTGAGAATTGAGGAATGAATGAACTAGCACAAAGTTGGGTTCAAGTAGGAAACCCTAGGAAACTGTACCCCATAGTGTCTACCCCACTATAGCCTACACAAGCTATATAATATGAGTTTGACACAAGCAATTCATGCATGCATATGATTATCCTATGCTAGAAATAGCATGATAAAGGCAAGCAAGCATAGCTGGCATAAGCCGTCGTACTCTCACAGCGGGTCAGCGGGGGCGAAGAGACCTAAGTGGGGCTCTCCGGTGAACGTGGAAAGAACTGCCCAGGTGGAAGAGTCCGTACAGATCGCAGTCCTCCGATGCGCAGGAAAAGTGACTGTGATCTCCGGTCCTGAAGGTTTCCAAGACCCTCCAAATTCCGACAGTACGAGGGGATGTAGAGACCAGTGAGGAAACCATAGGGGACAGCTGGGCATGGGAGAGTGGTCAAGATGCGAGCAACTGCTGCACCTGAAGTAGGATCAGCCAGGGCAACTGGGACTGGAGCCGAAAGAGGTGTGACAATGGTGTGGTCGCGGAAGAAGCACTGTGACGCGCCGGAGTCCAGCGTGAAGGAGAGCGACGCACCAACAGTCGTCATGGCTGGGCTAGTGACTACACAAGCACCTACACTAAAAGCACAAGTGCCTACACTAGCAACAGGCAAAGGTCCTAAGTTAGGTACACGCAAGCCAAGAGATCCAGACGTGACAGAATAGATAGCATCCATTGACATAGCAAACACAGGGTAACCACTACGAAACAGACCGGGCCAGATCGGGGGAGCCGACTCAGGCCTAAAAAGCTCACGGTAGAGGTCGTTGAGGCGGTTGTAGCCGCGCTGTGCTGAGTGGTCATGACCTAGCAGGTAGTGCCAGCACCAGGGCCGGTCAGGATCCGGTACTGGCAGGGGCCGACGTCGCGGCCACCGTGACGAGCCCCCCAGCTGACTGGGCTGCTGCAGCCAACACTACCCGAACCACCAGGCCCCAACGGCTGCTGAGGGCGCCACAGGTGCTGAGTGCGGAGCTGTTGCTGAGGGCGCCACTGCTGCTGCGGGCGCCACTGCTGCTGTGGGCGCCACTGCTGAAACGGCCGCTGCTGCTGTCCCTTCTGCTGGAGAACCCCAGTGGTCTCCATGATAAAGGCTAGTGGGGTGCAGGAGCGGCAGGCTAGGAGGAATAGGAGCTAGGGACGGCTGCAGTAAAAAACGAAAACAACTAGGAGCGCCAGGTGAAACTAGGCGAGTAACTACTGGAGCTCGGAGCGAACTGAGCTAGGAGTGCCAAGTGAAACTAGGCGAGGAACTGCTGGAGCACAGAGCAAAGGAGCGACAAGTGAAACTAGGCGGGGAACGGCCGGAGCACGGAGCAAATTGGGCTAGGAGCGAGGAGTGAGAACGGCTGGAGCTAGAACGACAAGAGCTGAAACGGCTGGATTGAGAACGGCTGGAGCTGAATGTTGAATGCACGTCATTCAGAGTGCATGTCATCCTAACGTCCTACCGAGTGCTCGTGCTATTCATGCGTGCATTGTTTGCATGAGCATATGTCACTGTGCATGGCTGTTGGATATTATCATCGCTGTGTTTTTCTCCAAGTTTAATTGCTTGATCATGCAAGAGAAATCCAGAGCTTTCCAACGATACCAAGATCGCCTTATTCCGACCAAGATAGCCCAAGTTACAAGATTTCCAAGCTTTGGGAATTCTATCTCATTTTCAGATGTTATCTGTTAAAGGTACGAGGAAAAAGTTTAGAACAAGAAAAGGGGGGTGCACTGGCAAGCAGTTGAGTACATATAGGAAACCCTAGATTGGGCTGTACTCGCTATAGAGTACCCCACTGCAGGCTAGACAAATACAACATTCTGACACACCCCCATAGCCAAAGTGGGGTGTAATCAGGAGAGCACACAGTCATAGAGTAGGTTCACAATTGCAAGGAAAGCTAAAGGTCATCACAGACGGCAAGTGAGGAGGAGAGACTGTGGGGGCGAGAAGATGGAAGGCGACTACTGAAGCTACAGACACACAGAAGCTGCTGGCTCAATGGCTACCGAAGCAAAGGCCCGGACTGCAGGAGTAGCTGGCTCCACGGAGATTGTAGCCTCTGACTGGAGCAACGGACCCACAGGCGACTGGCGACTACCGGAGATTGTAGCCTCCGGACTACTGGCGCTGCTGACGACACGACGGATGCCTCCACTGAACCCCCCCCCCAGCTGCCCCACGCCCCTATCACACACCCCCTGCTGCACCCCTAGCTCCACTCCCACGACACCCCCCTAGCACCACTCCTTCGGCTCCCACACACCCACCCCCCTGAGCGGCAGCTGCAGCAGCGGGAGACGGAGGAGGAGGAGGAGTAGGGGACGGCGCACACAACCGGCACCCCCACAACCGTCACCCCCACCGTCCCCACCCCCAAACCCTAAAACGGGTGGCACAGGGTAGGAGCGCGGGGGACGGCGAGGGGGACGGCGCGCGGCCCCCAGGGCGCCACCACGGGGCAGCGAGGGGCCGCGTGCGGCTCCCCAGGACGCCGCAACAAGGTAGCGAGGGGTCGCGCGCGGCTCCCAGGGCGCTGCGACAGGACGACAGGGGCCGCGCACAACACCAGGGCGCCGCGACGCGACGACAGGGGCCGCGCACGCCTTGCCCGGGCGCCGCGACAGGACGGCAGGGGCCGCGCGCGACACCTTAAGGCGTCGCAACGGACGGGCGAGGGCGCGCGCGGCTCCCTAGGGCGCCACAACGGAACAGCGGGGGCGGCGCGCCAGGAAGGAAAAGGGTCGCGCGCCCCGGGGCGCACGCCAGAGAGTAGATCGCCGCGCGCCGAAGGCGGCGATGAAAAATACGTCGCATGCCACGGGATGAAAAATACGTCGCATGCCACGGGGCGTGCGACAGATCAAGTAGCAGCGGAAGCAGGTTGGTGGGCCCACAGGCCAAGGAAGGACACGCTCTGTACGAGGACAAAGTTTAGAACAAGAAAAGGGGGGTGCACTAGCAAGCAGTTGAGTACATATAGGAAACCCTAGATTGGGCTGTACTCGCTATAGAATACCCCACTGCAGGCTAAACAAATACAACATTCTGACATTATCTACAGTAGGCGATTATTGGGACATGACTATAAAGGGATCTTTGGTTGAGTGGTTAGGAAGGCAACTTTGACTTTTGGATTGGGGTGGCTAGAAGTTTCTTACATGGGTTGCAAATGTTGCAACACCTAGGCAAAATCCAACTAGATTGGATTTTGCATGTGACACCTCAAGGACCTCATAATGAGGATTGCATCCTTGCTGCTAGGAAGGTTCCTATCATCCTTCTCTAGCTCTTGGAGAACCCCTTCCCTCTCATGGTTCTCTCGAAAGTCCCCAACTCCTACATTCCATGCCTTGATGCTTGTACTTCCTCCACCATTTTAGTCATGCGATTGCTAGACGTTTTTACTTGGTTCTCACTCTATAGACCATCCTAACAACTGATTTAACTTGGAGATGGTAGCTAAGCCTACGGCGCAACATCCTACTGAGCGGATTTGCGTTTAGTTGAGAAATGAGTTTGTCGTAAGTTCTCAAAGTGACGGATCCTGAACAAGACTGAAACGGCTGGAACGAGAACGGTTGGAGCTAGAACGGCTGGAGTACAACTGGCTGGAGCTAGAAACAACGAGCTAGGGCCGGCTGGAGGTAGGAACGACCGGAGCTAGAGACCGTAAGTGCGGCTGTCGGCTGCTGCTATTAGAACCACTGGCAGCGGAAAATACGTGCGGCAATAGGGGCTAGGAGCAAGGAGCGCCAGGTGGGACTAGCTGAGGTACTGCCGGAGTACGGAGGAAAGCTGAGCTAGGAACGCCAGTCTAGTAACTGACGAAGCTGGGAGCTAGCTGAGCTAGGAGCAGGCGGCTGGAGGAGGCGGGGCTGACGAGCCGATCGAGGAGTCAGAGAGTTGTTCAAGGGGCTGGCGGAGCGAGGAGAGACCCAGCTAAAAACGAACGCCAAGATTAGCCTAAACAGCTAGGTTGAGCGGCCTCCAACCGTGACGGTGCGAAACACTGTGAGTATGAGTGACGCGAGTGTCGAACCAACGGAGGTCGGGTGGTCCTGGGTGGTGTGCACGCGTGATGAGGGCTTGTGAGTGGTTGGAAAGGGCTGTGAGCGATTGAAAGGGGTTGTGAGCCGTTGGAAGGGGCTGTGAGCGGTTGGAAGGGGCTGTGAGCAGTTGGAAGGGGATGTGAGCGATTGGAAGGGGTTGTGAGCGGTTGAAAGGGGTTGTGGGCGGGTGGGAGGGGATAGCTGGCGGCTAGCTGCTGATGGCTAGCTGCTGCTGGCGGCTAGCTGCTGCTGGCGGCTAGCAGCTGATGGCGGCTAGTTGCTGGCGGCTACCTGCTGGCGGCTACCTGCTGCTGGCGGCGAGCTGCTGATGGCTAGCTGCTGCCTAGCCGTGCTGCTGCATCAATGCACGCGCTGCTGCCTAGCCGTGTTGCTGCAGCAATGCACGCGCTGCTGCTGCAATGCGAGCGCTGGTGCTGCAATGCGCGTGCAGCAGTGGCGTGCGCGACTGCCGCTAGCTAACGCGCGCTGCTGCTGCTGATGCGTGTGTGCCTGCTGCTTGCACGCGCGGCTGCTGCGGGCTAACCAAGACTACGCGGGCCCGGGGGGGGGGGGGGGGGGTCCTTAATGGAGCGCGACGAAACGAGGGGCCAGCGGGGCCCTTTAAACGCGACGAAAAACGAGGCCCGCGGGGGCCTTTGAACGCGACGAAAACGAGGCCCGCGGGGGCCATCTTACCCGCGACGAACCGGAGCCTAAGGGACGGGCGAAAAATTACCTACAATAATACCATCTTGAAATAGGCTAGGAAGTGAGTATCGAGAAAGATGTGTGAGTTGAGTATGGAGGAACAAGGAGATACAAGTGTTGCCATAAAGTGTTGTACCCTATAGAGGGCAACTTATTGTAGCCTATCTAACAATATATGGAAGATATAAAATTTTGACAAATAGGGCCCTGCTCGCAAGCATGCGTTACTGTTTATTTTACTTGCTATAAATGTTTGCTTATGCCTTGGATCATATTGTATGGTACTCGTTTGACTCTTTAAGTGCAATCCTGGCTCGCCTCATCAATTGCACGAAATTTGAGTACAACCCTGGAAGTATATCTGGAAACATTAGGAATGGAAATTTCATGTTTTTCGATGACTGGCGGGTCACACTCTAGCAATACTTCCCGCCAGACTGACACTTTTCTAACCCTCGAGGGCCTCGAGACGCGAGCAGAGTTGGGGGCAGAGGCAGCGAGTGATGAGATCGAGGGACGCGCGCAAGCGAGCATCCTGCTGCTCCAATTGCTCCGTTTCTCCCTCCTTCGAAAAGCAGGAATGCCTTCACCGTCTCTCCCAAGGTTCAACAAAAAAATCACTCACTAGGTCCCGTCACTATCCACTCACTCCCACACACGTCGTATCTTACCGCACAAGTACCGATAGTGCAAGATTTCTCTTCCGTTCGCAAACAAACTAGTTTCATACCAACCGCGCACGCAGGATGGGCGATGTTCAAAAGCGCGCGTTGCACGACATTTCGAACGAACTTATTCAGCTGACTACGTAGGAACTTCCCGCATATTTTTCCGTGGCTTGTCGTTCATTTCCAGCCCTTGTTCAGCCTGAATTCAGGATCTGTCGTTTCGCCGTTTTCGTTCTCCGCTTCTGTGCTCTGCCTCGGACCCCTTAGTCGCCGTCGCGCAGTCAGCCACCGCCACTCTGCCTCTCCGCTGCTCTGCAGCTTTGCCAGTCTGCCGCTCCGCTGCTCCACCGTTCTTATGCTCGCTTCCCCGTTCAGCTCGCGCTGTCCCCTCCGGCGTCGCTGCTGCTTCGCATCAATTCTCGTTCCCGACTGACGCTCTGCCCGTCGCCCTCTTCACCATGTGCGACCATCGCAGGGAGCGCGAGGAGCGGCTCAAGGCCGCGCCAGCAAACGAGGATGGCGCCGTCGAGTCGCGCGAGGTCAACGGCCAGGTGGGGGAGAGAGTCGCGCGAGGTCAACGGTCAGGTGGGAGAGACGGGGACAGCCGTGGAGAATCCACCTGTACCTTGCTAGTTGGTCGTTTCCCTTCTCCGCTCATCGCGATGCTCGTCCGCCATTGTCTCCTCTCATGCGCACCTAAATCGTGAACCCTGAATGCTTCGATTGTGTACCCTGAATGCTTCGATTGTGTACCCTGAATGCTTCGATTGTTTACCCTGAATGCTTCGATTGTGTACCCTGTATGGAATGCTTCGATAGGCGGCAGTGAAGCGGCTGCAGACGAGTTTTGTGGAGAGCGGGGTGAGTGCGGCGCTGCTGCGCTATCTGAGCGACACGGGGCCGCTGCTGCTGCAGGACTCGTGGGACCTGCCGCGCAGCAACGACGACGCTGGTGAGCGGAGAGGCGCGAGAGTGGTCTCGCTACCCCTGCGACGTATCGCATGCTCGCATAGCTGCGAGGCGTCGTCGCAGCTCTCGTCGTCCACGGCGGGCGACGTCGTCCGCAGCGCTTCAGCGACACACTGCCGCTGGAGCGAGAATGAGGCGCACAGGGAAACACTGAGCGAGCGAACACGATGCACGAGGCACGATGCACGATCCCACTGCGCGCATCCCACTGTGCGCATCCCACTGCGCGCATCCCACTGCGCGCATCCCACTGCGCGCATCCCACTGCGCGCATCCCACTGCGCGCATCCCACTGCGCTCATCCCACTGCGCGCATCCCACTGCGCTCATCCCCCTGCGCTCATCCCTCTGCGCTCATCCCCCTGCGCTCACCCCCCTGCGTGCTCCAGAGGCGGCACGGCAGCAGCTCAAGGCGGCCAACAGCGACGCACAGGCGATGGCAGACAAGAGATGCGACGCCCTGCGACACGCGTGCGAGCAGCTGGGGCAAGGTGAGCCGCTGGGGGTGTGTGGTGCATGGTTATGTGTGGTGCACGGTTGTGTGTGGTGCATGGTTGTGTGTGGTGCATGGTTGTGTGTGGTGCATGGTTACGTGTGGTGCATGGCTGTGTGTGGTGCATGGTTGTGTGTGGTGCATGGTTGTGTGTGGTGCATGGTTACGTGTGGTGCACGGTTGTGTGTGGTGCACGGTTGTGTGTGGTGCATGGTTGTGTGTGGTGCATGGTTGTGTGTGGTACATGGTTGTGTGTGGTGCATGGTTGTGTGTGGTGCATGGTTGTGTGTGGTGCATGGCCGTGTGTGGTGCATGGTTGTGTGCGGTGCATGGCCGTGTGTGGGGCATGGTTGTGTGCGGTGCATGGCCGTGTGTGCTGTATGCGTCACAGATAGTGCAGACTTGCCGTCTGCCCATGCCCACATTCGCATTGCCCACCTCCCACCACCACCCATGCGGCCCAATGGTCCACGTTTCAGAAGTGGAGAGGATGGAGGAGCTCCACGTGGACGACCAGCTCAGCGCGCTCTCCATCGAGGTACGCCTCTTTCCCTGCCCCAATTCTCGCTGCCCCAATGCTCGCTGCCCCAAAGCTCGCTGCCCCAATGCTCGCTGCTCCATTGCTCGCTGCTCCTCGCTCCCCTCTCTGCACTGGCAGCTGGCAGCGCTGGAGGAGGCGGAGGCGGCGCTGCAGCAGGCGGAGGAGGCGGCGGGGCTGGCGACGTGCAGCGCACAGGGCGAGGGCTCCGAGGTGCGGGCTGGGTGTGTGTGGGCGCACGGGGGCCGGGGTGAGGGGAGGGTGTGGGCGCAAGGGTGTTTGGTGAGGGAGGGTGTGGGCGCGGGGTTGTTGGGATGATGGGAGGGCGTGGTGTGGGTGGCAGAGGGCTGGGGTGGCATTGGGCAGAGGGTCCCTGGAGGGAAATGCCGGAAAGGCAAGAATGTAATGGCAGCAGAAGCAGGACTTGGAAAATGGAGGCGCATTGATGAGGCAGAGGAAGCAGTGGGCTGCACGAGGGCGGAATGGCTCTCTGTAAGTGGTCAGCTCTTGCTGCTCGCTCCCTCAAGCACCTTATACCCTGCTGCTCACACACACGTCCCCTCCCTCTGCCCCTCTCTCCCTCTCTTCATCGCCCACCACCAGGCGGCGCAAGTGGCGGCGCTCACCCGAGTGAAGGCAGAACTGGCGGCGTCGCTGCAGCGCTGCGCCGCCGCTGAAGGGCTCTCCTCGCACCTCGCTGCTGCTGCTGCTGCTGCTGCCACACAAGCGGTGAGACAAGGCCGCTGCTGCCTCTCGCTTCCCCACTTGTCCCCCGTGTCTCTCATGCCTTTGCCCCCTTTGCACGTGCGCCTCACACCACTTCTCCTCTGTGCTGCACCCCCCCCCCCCCTCCCGTGCAGAGCGAGGAGCAGAGCCACCCCGCAGAGAGGCACACGAGGAGCGCCGGGTGAGTTGCTGCCACACACGCGGGCGTGCGTGGGTGGGGTTGGCCGCATGCCTCTCACTGCCTCATGCGCCAGTGGATACGAACTGCACTTGCACGCTCTCTTGCGCTGATGCTCATGCTTTCATCCTTTGCCATCCCCTCATGCTTTCATCCTTTGCCATCCCCTCATGCTTTCATCCTTTGCATCCCCTCATGCTTTCATCCTTTGCATCCCCTCATGCTTTCATCCTTTGCCATCCCCTCATGCTTTCATCCTTTGCCATCCCCTCATGCTTTCATCCTTTGCCATCCCCTCATGCTTTCATCCTTTGCCATCCCCTCATGCTTTCATCCTTTGCCATCCCCTCATGCTTTCATCCTTTGCCATCCCCTCATGCTTTCATCCTTTGCCATCCCCTCATGCCTCCCTTCCTGCTCACCCAAAACCCTGCTCTCCTCATTCAAGCATCTGCTCTCCTCATTCAAGCATTCCACCCTCTCAGTAAACCCTGCCCTTGCCCCCTCTTTCCCCTCCCCCTCCACGCACCCACTGTCCTACCCGCCCCTCGGCCCCATGCAGCCCATCACCCACCGCCACATTCAGTGGCACTAGCAGCAGCACGCAGCAGACGGCAGAGCAAGGCAGCCACGCGCAGGCAGCAGTGCAGCAGCTGGCGGAGCTGCTGTGCCCCGCCGCCCTCACCGCCCAGACTGCCCGCTCCCTCTCTCTGCGCCTCCCCCTCCCCTCCCCCCACTCGCTTCCAAGCCCGCCACTCACGCGTGAGGCAGCCGCTTCAGGCAGTGCAGCAGCACGCGCATGTGCCCCTGCCACGGGGAAGGCAGGGCTGCCTGCTGTGGTGTTGGGCGGTGCAGGGGAGGGCAGCATGGGGGAGGGCAGCAGTGCGACAGTGGAGGTGGCTGTGCTGCGTGGAGGGCACGTTGCTGCTGCATCCATTGTGAGCCACCTTTCTCTGCCTGTCGTGCCTCCTTCCTCCCCGCCCTCCCCTCCGCTGCCTGCCTGTCTTCTTCCTCACCTTTCAGTGCGACGCTCTCACTTAGCCTCCCACATGCTGTGCTTCGTCCCTGAGAACATTTATATGTATCAAGCTAAAAGTTCTATCATTTTACTATGTCCCCATCGCCACGGCATCCAGGTCCCAGTTCCCATGCGCCCTGTCCCCTCACCTCCGCATGTGCGCTGCACGCCCCTCTCCTCTCGTCCACATGCCATCACCCCCCTTCCCGTGCGCCGTGCCCTCCCCACCCTGCAGGGAGCCCCAGGACTCCCCCAACGCTCGCTCCCTCTGCAACCCTCCACCCACGCTGCTGACAGGTGCGCCTCCCATGCCATGCCATACTGTACTGTGCCATGCACTGCCATGCCATGCCATTCCATCCCATGCCATGCCCTGGCATGGGCTGCACCCGCTGCCTCTGCCCCGCACACCTCATGCGTCTTCCCTCTCTGCCTGCCTTGCAGCGCCACAGGGGCCAACCAGCAGCATCCAGGCGGAGCAGGAGTGCCGGTGGCAGCAGCAGTGGCGGAGGCGGCCTGTCTGCTGCGCCTGCTGGTGCTGCGCCGGGCACACATGGCAAATGCCCTCGCCACCGCGCCCTTTCCCCCCCGGTATGCCACGTCCGCTGCAGCCTCTTCGTCCGCTGCAGCCTCTTCGTCCGCTGCAGCCTCTCCGTCCGCTGCAGCCTCTCTGTCCGCTGCAGCCTCTCCGTCCGCTCCATAAACTTTCATGTGAACAGCATACTTTTTTTTCTCCCATCCCTCGTGCCTTCACCTTCTCTCGTCACATCTCCTCTCCTCTCCTCTCCTCTCTGCTCATCTCCTCCCCTCCCCATCTCTCCTCTCTTCTCCTCTCCTCTCCTCTTCTCTCCTCTCCTCTCCTCTCCTCTCCTCTCCTCTCCTCTCCTCTCCTCTCCTCTCATCTCATCTCCTCGCATCTCCTCTCTTCTGTCATGCCCCATGGGAGCGCAGGTACATGGTGGAGATGGCGGGGGAGGGCGCATTCAAGGTGAAGTGGGCCAACGGGGCCACGCTCACCCTCACCGCCTGCAACGACTGGCCAATGCCAGGCGGCCACCTGGCAGTGGCTGACGTAGAGCTGCCCCACACAGCGCAGTCGGGCGAGGAGAGGCAGCAGCTGCTCTCGCTGCTCTCCACGGCCGTGGTGAGCTCCCTGTGCTGGGCGCCTCTCAGCTCACCGCGCCCATTACCACTCTCCACGCACCACAGCACGCACTGCCCTCTGAGGCTGTTGGTTCCTTCCTGGGTGTGTGCGTCAGGGAGCAAGCGAGGCTGGTGCAGGTGCAATGGCATCTGAAAGGCACATGATGATGTCATGTGGTTGCAGGGTAGTTGTGAAAAATCTCAAGAATCCCGTGCAAGGGGCCTTGTGAGCTCTGAGCATGGGCTTGCGGCACCGTGCTGTGTGAATGCTCACTGCTCTTTCCCACACACACCCCACCCCCCTCACCAAGCCATGGCAGGGCGACGCACAGCGGCAGGATGACACACCTCCGGCCCCTCCGGCCCTGTCCGCCCTGGGCGGTGTGATAGCAGCGGCAGGGGCATGCCTGCGCAAGGCCATGATGGTGGCGCTCAAGACATCGTGATGCCATGCTGACGTGGTGGCATGCTGACGTGGTGGCATGCTGACGTGATGGCATGCTGATGTGATGGCATGCTGACGTGATGGCATGCTGACGTGATGGCATGCTGACGTGATGGCATGCTGACGTGATGGCATGCTGACGTGATGGCATGCTGACGTGATGGCATGCTGACGTGATGGCATGCTGACGTGATGGCATGCTGACACAGTGAGGGATGCGTGGGCGCTGTGTGGTCAAATTGTTGTACATTCACACAGAACCTGTGCTGTCTGTGATGGTGGTGCCGATGCTGATGCTGATGCTGATGGTGATGCTGATGGTGATGGTGATGGTGATGGTGATGGTGATGGTGATGGTGATGGTGCTTGTAGAAACATGCTCACGGAGGAGAGCATGAAGGGGTGAGCAGCATTGGCATGGTAGGAACAGTGAAGTGGTGGCAGGTGCTGTGATACCTCATCAGGTGCTGAGATACCTCATCAGGTGCTGTGATACCTCATCAGGTGCTGTGATACCTCATCAGGTGCTGTGATACCTCGTCAGGTGCTGTGATACCTCATCAGGTGCTGTGATACCTCATCAGGTGCTGTGATACCTCATCCATGCACCTGTGCACCAGCGCTCCACACACTCATCAGTGGGTTTGACTTGATCGTGAAGTGTGGCCCTACAGTAAGAGCATGCTGAATGTGATGCCACAGTTGTAGTTTTTTCAATGCATACCCAACGTGCATTGCTGAGCCACCCCATCCTCCAGCAAGCTGGCATGCGCGGAATTGAGTTGATGAACCAAGGCAATGAACTCAGAGGTACACTAGAGTAGACATGCACTGCACATGCAATACGGTAATAGTGAAGGTGAAACAGCATGAGGAGGTGAGTGCTGATTGCAGCACAGCACTTGAAGAATTGGAGCTGTGCCTCTGCTCTTGCTGGCTTGGCCTGTCAAACTATATATATGCTTTAGAATTGGGTGTAGGCTGTAGTGGGGTAGCCATTGTCGGCTACAACCCCTTTAGGTTTATACTTGTACCAAACTCTCTCGATACTGCGCCTGCTGAGACCTTGCACACCTTTACGCTTGACCCAGGTGCTTCCAGCTGCTTCTTTCGTGACAATACTGCACTCACACCAGTCCCTTCACATGTTGCAGTCTCCCTGGCTGACCCCTCAGGGGGCCCAGTTCTTGCATGGTCCACCACTGTGCTCCCGTTCCCGGCGGTTTTGTATGGCTCACTATCAGGTCTCCTCCTCCCCTCGTTCTCTACGAACTTGGTGAGCACTGCTGTCCTCCAGAATGCAGGGGTTGGCACCTTCACCCCTGGTCAGCAGCGTGTGGAGATCTGTACGTGCTCCCAGACCTGCCGCCACCTGGCCACGTTTACTCGTCGGCCAGGGTCGAGTCTTTACACACTGACGACTGCGCCTCCTCAGGTAGCTGCTACTGGTCAAGTGTCTGCGGCAGATCAGGTAGCCTCCCCTTGTGAGTGTCGCTCCCTGTCGCACCAGACTCTTCTCTGGCACCACCACCTGGGTCACCCCTCCTTGCCACGTCTCCGTGGCATGTACCGTAGTCTCCTTGTGTCAGGTCTTCCCAGGTCTCTCCCTCCCCTCCCTGCCTCGCCTGCGCCGCCCTACCTTCCTTGCGTCGAGGGGCGGCAGCGCGCCGCTCCTCACTCCTCCTCGTTTCCCCCGACAAAGGCTCCTCTGCAGACCCTCCACATGGATGTGTGGGGCCCAGCCCACGTTCGTGGACAGGGCGGTGAGCGGTACTTTGTGCTGGTTGTCGACGACCACTCGCGTTACACCACGGTCTTCCCCTTGCGCACCAAGGGTGAGGTCCCTGCTGTCCTGATCCCTTGGATCCGAGCAGTTCGTCTCCAGCTCCGCCGCAGGTTCCGCCAGGACCTGCTTAACTTGCGTCTGCACTCTGACAGAGGTGGTGAGTTCACCTCCGACCCCTTGCGGGCCTTCTGTCAGGGGGAGGGCATCGAGCAGTCGTTCATGCTTTCGGGCTCACCGCAACAAAATGGGGTTGCTGAGCGCCGCATTGGCTTAGTCATGGAGGTCGCTCGTACCTCCTTGATCCATGCGGTGGCTCCCCATTTTCTGTGGCCGTTTGCGGTCCGGTACGCCGCGCAGCAACTCAACCTCTGGCCCCGTGTCTCCTTGCCGGAGACCTCGCCCACACTGCGTTGGACGGGGGAGGTTGGCAATGCGTCGGTGTTCCGGGTCTAGCGTGCTCGTGCCCTTGTCCGCGATACGTCCGCGGACAAGCTCTCCTCCCGCACCATTCTCTGTATCTTCCTTGACTTCGTCCCTGACACGCCTGGCTGGCAGTTTTACCACCCCACCTCGCGCCGTGTCTTCCCCTCTCAGGACGTCACCTTTGACTAGTCGGTTCCTTTCTACCGTCTCTTCCCCTCCAGCACTGCCCCTCTCCCTCCCCCGCTGCTTTTCCTCGCTCTAGGTCCCCCTCCGGTAGACCCCCTCCCCCCTCAGGGTCCTGCTCCTTCAGGTGTGTCTTAGGTAGACCTGCCCCAATTCGCTGAGCCTGTAGAGGTCACTAGCGACTCAGGTGCTGCTGCGGAAGGTGCTGCTGGGGGTGCTGCGTCTGGGGGTGCTGAGCCTACGCATGAGGTGCTGGGGAGTGCGGAGCCTGGGGGTGCTGAGCCCGTCCGTGAGGTGCTGGGGCGTACGGAGCCTGGGGGTGTTGAGCCTATGAGTGCGAAGCCTGGGGGTGCTGAGCCGGAGGGTGCCGGGTCGGGGGGTGCTGAGTCTGCTGGCGTTCCTCTGGGTCTCGTTTCACGATGCGGGCCTGTCCACCACAACATGCACGAGAGTGGATTGCGTCGCGTACCCGCCTGAGGAGTCGTGCTTCTGGAGTTGCTTGTCGTGGAGGCGCTGGGAGTGCTGGTGTCTCTGGTCCTGGAGGCGTATTGGAGGTACTGGAGCTGCCGGGACTGGTACTGCTCTTGGAGCTGGAGGTGTCTTCTCTGGAGGTGCTGCTACTGGTGGCGCTGGAGCTGGAGGTGCTGCTGCTGGAGGCGTTGGAGCTGGAGGTTCTGGAGTTGCTGGAGGCGCTAGAGCTGGAGGTGCTGCTGCTGCTGGAGTCACTGGAGCTGGAGGTGCTGCTGCTGGAGGCGTTGGAGCTAGAGTTTATGGAGCTGCTGGAGGCGCTGGAGCTGGAGGTGCTGCTGCTGGAGTCAATAGAGCTAAAGGTGGTGCTGCTGGAGGCGGTGGAGCTGGAGGTTCCGGAGCTGCTGGAGGCGCTGGAGCTACTGGTACTGGTGGCACTGCACCCCTGCGACAGTTTTTCACTCCGCGGTCACTGCCATCTCTGGCACCGCCTGACTCCATGCTTCGCCAGGTTCTTATCCTCCCGTCTTCTACTGGCCTCCCGTTACAGCCCGGCGCACCACTGCCTGCTCTTTCTCCTTACAGTGAGCAACATACTCGCTTACAGAACTTCGTGAGCCTGCGTCTCGTCTTGCCTCGTTTGGTCGCGCGCGTCGCACTGGTAGCCGTGTTCCTCGTGAGCGTCCGCCTCCTGTCCCTGGCACGCAGACGCAGCTGCAGACTCAAACGACGTCTGAGCTTGTTGACTTTGCTGCTTCCTGTCGTCTCAACTTTGCTGCTAGTCTTCTTGCTGAGTCTGAGTCTGTCTGTCCTTCGTCCGTCGGGGGTGAGTGTGCTCTTGGCACGGACGTCCGTGAGGAAAGGCAGGAGGACTTTGAGTGTCTTGCAGCCGCTGCGCCTCATCTCGTGGCCATGCTGCTTGCCCCTGAGGGAGACCCGGATGCTCCCGACATCCCGACCCCGCGCTCTTACGCTGAGGCGATCGCGGGTAAGTACTCCTCTAAATGGCAGACAGCCGTGGACGCTGAAATGGCATCCTAGAAGTCCACAGGCACTTACGTCGACGCAGATCCCCCTCCTGGGGCGAACGTAGTCGATCACATGTGGATTTTCAGGGTGAAGCGGCCGCCGGGTTCTCCGCCGATCTTCAAGGCGCGTTACGTTGCATGAGGCTTCAATAAGTGATTGGGAGTCGACTTCTTCCAGACCTTCTCCCCTACAACGAAGTTGACCACTCTTCGGGTACTGCTGCACGTCGCCGCTCATCATGACTATGAGCTTCACTCTCTTGACTTCAACACTGCTTTCCTACAGGGCAGCCTGCACGAGGAGATCTGGCTGCGCCGCCCACCTAGCTTCACTGGGTCGTTTCCTGCAGGTACCCAGTGGAGCCTCCGGCGGCCAGTCTACGGTCTTCGCTAAGCGCCTCGCGAGTGGCATGACACACTGGGGACGACTCTTGCGGCTGTTGGGTTTGCTCCTTCTATTGCTGACCCATCGCTGTTTCTACGCACCGACACTTTGCTGCCGCCGTTCTACATCCTCGTGTGCATCGACGTCTTGGTCATTGCCACTGTTGACACAGCTGGACTGGCCCACATGAAGTCGGAACTGCAGAGGAGACACACGTGCACAGACCTGGGTGAGCTTCGCAGCTATCTTGGCTTGCAGATCACTCGGGACAGAGCACGGTGCAACATTATTTTGACTCAGTCACACATGGTGCAGCAGGTCCTTCAGTGCTTCAGCTGCACCTGGGCCTCGTCATAGTCCACTACCCTGGCTACAGGTCACTCGCTCTTAGCTCCACCTTCGTGTCAAACATTATATATGTTGTGTTAGTTTAGGCTACAGTGGGTTAGCCTATAGGGGGTACACAATTCTAGGGTTAGGTACTTGTACTCATTTCACTGCTAGTTCATTCATTCTTGTTTCGTACTTCTGACATGGTTTCAGAGAAGGTCCTTCGCTAGGACCGAATTTTTTTTAAAGGGCCCACCACTACCTACCTAACTACCTGCGCCCAGAGCGCCTCGTTCTTAAGGCCCCCTGAGGCCCTCGCGCGTCGCCCCTTAAGGCCCCTCACGGCCCCATGCGTCGCCCCTTAGCGACCTCTTCGGCCCCGCGCTCACCTCCCTAGA